ACACACACACACACACACAGAGAGAGAGAGAGAGAGAGAGAGAGAGAGAGAGAGAGAGAGAGAGAGAGAGAGAGAGAGAGAGAGAGAGAGAGAGAAGGTAACGTCTTGCGGCCTGATCGTGGTGCTATACAGAGGCCTGAATAGGGAAGGAACGCAGCAGGGGTATATATAGTATATACACATTGCCAAGTCATGGAGGAGGTAGATTTGCAAATGTCGAGTCTACGTGCTCAGTTAGAGGAGTGCAATGCGCAAATGACAAGGCTTGACCAGGAGGTAGAGGGGATGCATAAGGAAATTGGCGGCCTGGTACCGGATCCCGACAGCTTTGAAAGGTTACAGAGCCTCTTTAGCAGACTGGAGGAGCTGGAAGATGCGGAAAAGGGCGGTAGGGACAATTTCCCGCATGAAGGGCGGGTGTTGGTGAGCACGGGCACGGAAACGAGGAAGAGCGAGGCTTCGCTTGGGCAAGAGGATGCACAAAGTATTGAGCAGATTGATGCGGCGCTTTCGGATGAGAGGGTCAAATGGCAGGAGTTGCGTTCGACGCTGGCGAAGAGGAGCAGGGCCGTCTCTCTTCTCTCGCGGAAGGTCGACGAGGTGCCAGTCCGCGCAGAGCTGATGCAGTACGAACGGCGATTTGTCGAACTGTCCGAAGAAATTCGGTGGAAGCTTCAGGAGACTCGCAAGTACTACGCGACCTACAACTCCTTGATGGACAGCAACAAGGTTTTGGAGAAGGAAATCTCTTTCCTTGGCTCCATTCAAAGTCGATTCGATCAGGCCATAGCGACACCCCAAGGGAGAGAGAAACTCCTTGAGTCCTTGTCGGCGATTGCTGCGAGCGTGAAGGAATCGGAACAGAAGGCAGAGCAGAAAGTGAAGGGGGAGCAGGAGGCGCTGAGCATGGTGAAAAACAGACATGCAACGGCAGTCGCAGCACAGAGACAGTACTTTGCTCTTCTGAAGCAGCTGCAAGAGGAGTGCACACGAGGAGAGCGTCTTCATCAAACACTGCAGAAGAAGGCTATGGAGGCAGCACCCTCCTGCTGAAAATGATGGCCGGAGATTGCAAGAATATCAGCAAGCTCGCATCTTTGAAGTAAGTGGGAAACAGATGTGCTTTTCAGTTTTCTCTGAAGTTAAGAACTACCTTCTTCCCACCAATACAACAACACACGGTTCATTATAACTGTATTTAGACTGAAAGATACGCCAGACCGTAGTGGAATACAGTTATCTTATGAGGTACTTTGAAAAACGGAAGGTGGCGAATCACATCTGTGTTGTCGCAACATAAGTGTTGGTGTACCCATTCTTCTTCTTCTTCTTCTTCTTCTTCGGGAGTATTATCGGCGAATTTTGAGAGATGGTTAACGGGGGGGCAAATATTCATTGTTTTCGTCGGCAATTTCGGTGCGAAATTCATGGAAATTTTCAAAAATAAACAAACTGAATACGGGCCCATAGTGCAAACATAAAAAAAAAAGACGAGACAGGCCAAAGAAAACAGGAAAAAAAAAACAAAAAAGCACTACAAAACACTGACAATGACGCGTCCAACGAATTCAACAAAATGCCAACTTTTTCATTATTGATCCAAACATGTCAAAATTGGACACATGACGTACCCTAAAGTACACGGCCCCAGCCTTGCTGAAAAAAAAAAAAAAAAAAAAAAAAAAAAAAAAGAAGTGCGCCCCTGGCGGTTTGGAAAAGCCTGGCACACAGTAAGGCGCCTCCAGGCCTAAAAAAAAAAAAAAAGAAAGACGCCTCCAGACTCGGGTGTACTGGTGGCTTCACAGTGTGTAATAGCTTTATTCAATTTTTCGTTTCTGTTCACATAACCAAGTGGCCTGGCCGCCTACACTGACGGAAAGGGAGGGGGAGGAGGAGGAGGAGGAGGAGGAGGAGTGCCAGCAGAGGAGAGGAGTCGGAGTGTAGGAGGTAGTGCAGTTAAACAGCAGAGGAGGAGGAGGGGGGGGGAGGAGGGAGAATGGAGGAGTAAAGAGGTGGGAAGGCCAACTTGAGGGAAGAGGACAAGGACGGATATGGCGAGGAGACTGAATGGTGCACATATGTAAAAAATTGTGAAGGTGAACAAAAATCAGGTCATGAGGTCGAAGCACGGTGGCATTAGATGGACACGCAGGGTGTACTTGTACTTCCTCAAGAAAAGAAGGAATGATGCGTCACAGCGGCTGCATATTTGCAAAAGACACAGAGTGGGAGATTGGACAGACGCTGCCTGACGGCGCCAGCCAAAAAAGGAAAACAGTGCACTGCTGCCTGTTCCGAAAAAAAAGCTTGGTACGCACTGCGCAGTGGAAGGTCGCCAGGCCCGGGTGTGTAGGAGGAAGGGGGGGGGGGGGGGGGGGGGNAAAAAAAAAAAAAAAAAAAAAAAAAAAAAAAAAACCGTCAGAGAGCTGCTGCAAATCCAGGGGTCGCAAGGCCTCCAATCCCACTCCATTGGTTGGAACCCCTTCCCTGTAGAAAACGACCGTCTACAATTCCAAAGAAGTCAAAAAAATCCCAACTACTACAAAACAAAATGGCGGAAAAAAAAACGACAGAGAACCAAAAAACTCGTCGACGAAGTTCCTAATTAGGGTTGCCAACAATCCGCAAATCTCATCGCAACGCATTAAATTTTTAATTTTTCTAATTAGGGTCACCAGTTATTCCTAATCCTCAATATACCCAGCACGGCGAATATTTGCTAGCCTGGCTGGCCATTATTAATGCAATTTTTGTATTTTCTTTTTTAATTAATTAATTAATTTTATTTATTTATTTTAGTAAACTTTTTTATTTATTTATTTATTTATTTATTTTAATGCAATTTTGGCAACCATATGGTACAAATTTATAAAACAGACTTCTGGGAGATAGCAAAGAAGCAATTGAAGGAACTTAGGGCTGCAATCTCTGCCTATGTAGGGAAGAACAACCATAAGCAAAAATCAAGTGTATGAAAATAGTAAAAGACTATGAAAAGTGTAAGGTCGGACGTATGTGACACAATCGAAGAAAGTGGGTGGTGTAGGCATTTTGGATCCAGGGGATGAGATAAAAGCCCTGATCTTCAAAATTATAACTACCTTCTTCCCCCGTACATAACGCATATGCGTTGTAAACGAGTACAACTCATAGGGTGCGTTCTATTCGAATGCAAAGCATTTGTTTTTCAAACTCGAAAACTCTAATACAACGCATATGTGTTATGTTCGGCGGAAGAAGGTAGGATGCTAACGGCCAACTTGAGTCACCTCCCCTGCCCTGGTTACACCTTGCTTACATCCAATTAACTTATCTCGCCCCTCCATCCCCCATCTCAAGCGCAGTCCACCCGCTAAGATGGTTAACGCTTCGTGACTGGTCCATACGAAGCCCTTCAAAACACAGAAGGGATGGCACAACTCGCAACAGCATCAGATGGGATCTCAAGAGGGAGCACCTTTGGGTTAACATTGTCATTTGTGGAGAGAAATGAGGCCTCCTAAAGGACCCCCTCCCTCAAGATGGCATGGAATTTGGAGGCAACCAATATTTGGCATGGAGCGCTTGAGTGGCAAATCTTCTCGCGACGTCAACCAACCCCGGACTTGTTAACATCACACACAAATTTGGGACGGAAAGGCAGTCTACTTTCCAATGCAATCTCTTTAAAGTTTAAACACGCTAGACTGGCTATTATGGTGATCATTTGGAGGAGGTGCTGCTCGACCGAAAGGCAGCAAGAAGAAGTCTTTAGCCTCCCGCGGGTGAAAACAGAAATGTTAGCCACCCGATCAAATTTAGTGAAGGCTCATAAGAGATTGTCCACCGCGTGGATGCAGGGAACGCAGCCCTAAGGGATTATGTTTCTTTGTTTTTCTTTTAGAGAGAGAGAGAGAGAGAGAGGGGCTGATGTGTTCGCCTTCGGTGTAGCCTTTGTGCAGCAAACACACACACCTTAACCCACCACACCGCAGCCTTAGGTTTGGGAACTGTGAGCCTGGCCCAATAACCGAAAGCAATGCAGCTAAGCGTGCGTACAAGAGATAGATAGATAGATAGAGATAGAGATAGATAGATAGATAGATAGATAGAGATAGAGAGATAGAGATAGAGATAGAGATAGATAGATAGATAGATAGATAGATAGATAGAGAGAGAGAGAGAGAGAGAGAGAGAGAGAGAGAGAGAGAGAGAGAGAGAGAGAGAGTCAACATGGCGAAAATGCAATACGGGTCAAATTGCGGCTGCAATCTATTTCATGGTTGAAATGATTTTTATTTATCTATTTAATGTCTTCCCTGTAAAGATCACCACAAAATCTATGAGCACTCCTATTTTCAGATTTTTTCACACATTTTTCTGCGCGCAGAAAATCACTGAAGTGGCAAACATGGCTGAGTGGCAAAAATGGACAATGTGCTGAACCGGCGGGACAATTGTTTTGCATTCTTAATGATTTTTTGAAAATTTTCTGATATTTTTCATGGAAAGACCACGACCTAATCTATGGATTCTTAAATTTTCAGATATTTCTGCAAATTCCCCCGAGCACAAAACATTGCCAAAGTTGCCTCTTGCAAATTGCGGACTGGACCCACCGGTACCCTTCGCCTTGGACAGCCTGCACGCCTCCCCTTCTTACTTCTTTTTGAGGTCCGCTTCCACCTGAAGACGGGTCATTCCTTTTTCCGAAAGTTCTGGTTCTACGAGATCTAGCTGTAGGTTGTCCGCAATATCGCCAAGGACCGGTCCCACAACTGCCAGCCCTAACCCTAAGTGGTAGCCCTCCACTTAGTAGATTAGGGTTGAAGCGGCGAAGTCATCTCTCGCCAGCAAGTAGAATCCGCTCTGATACCAATGTTATGATCCTGGCCAATTTCGAAGTACAGAATTCATGAGAAAGCACAATGCCTTCCAATTGCAAAAGAAATGAATGAACTTGAGAGAGGATAGAGGGAAAGAAGAAGGAGAAGAAGTCTCACGAGCACTCTACTTCTCCTTTTCTCCTCCCCTCTTTATTCACAATCAATAATAATAATAATGTTGAATGGCTGAACCAGAATCTATGTCCGAATCTCTCTTCTACTGCAGGTACAACATCATGAGGTCCACCATACCCATGGCCACCCTTCTCTTTACTCTCCCTGAAGGCCGGGGCTATGGTGGACTGCTAGGGCTTTGCCCTGATGTGCAAAAGACAACTCAAAGAAGTTATGGATGCTCTATCTCAGGCTGTCATGCCTGACTCTGCCTTAAAGTTTCTTGGTGTAGCTCTACCCCAACCGGGGTCTTCCAGATGCAGCGCCCACCAAGATGATGAAGATGGCGTCTTTCATAGCCAGGTAAGTACCTCTGGGGCTCCCCTTCCTAGTCGTCGCCTTCCTCCTCCTCAAGCCCGTGCTCTTCCACCATAGCCGAGGTGGGGAGCCGGCGGTCCTTCCTCCCCAGCAGCGCAGCTACAACCAGCACTGCTCCAGCCGGCGCTCCAAGCAATGTGTCGCCAAACTTGCACACTGTAGAATGAGGATGAGCTCTTTGCTCCTACAGGAAATATAGCAGCCTGCTTGCCTCTTGGGAGGTGACTTCCAGGCCGCACAGCCTCCAAGCAACCGGTACATGCTCCCTTTCGGAGGGAAACATCATTGCAGACTCTGATATTGCCCGTACAGGCCCTAGACTCGGACTGCTTGGACTGGTACCCGCCTAGATCTAGCCTACAACTACTGGGCCTCTTAAAATGCCACTTTCGTCTTCGTCTGCTCGGCCTCGAGTACCCGACACATCTACCGCAACTTGGTGTGGTACTGGTCTGCCTGCCACTTGAGTTTTTTTCCGCTACTCTAATTGTCGCGGGCCTCTTTCCCCGCCACTTGAGTGTTTTACCCGCTGCAACCCTCAATGGCACGGCCACAGGTAAGTACCAGCTTTTCGGGCCTTCCGGACGAACAAGTGCGCTTGTGGGTCACACACACACTCAAACTGACAAGCACACAGACTGGCACACAGACCAGCAATCATGCACACACACAGACTTTGAAAACTCAGCAACAAGCGGGAAACTCAGCAAGGCATACATTCCATT